TCGTCCCTTAGACGAGTATATATCCACAAGAATTTCTCGTTGTGTTGCTTCACTGACGTAGTTCCAGTGAAGATGTTGTCGAACCATACGTGGATGGCTCGACCGATTTGGTCCCTTAGGATCCAAGTCAAAACGCGCTGGAACGTGGAAGGGCCGTTACAGTCCCCTTGTTGCAGCACGTTTGATATGAAAGTACCGTACAGGGTACTCATCCCCATGTATTGTACGCAGTCCAGTTTGATACGAATCTGTTCGTACGTGTCTGTCATATCGATCTTTGATCGATAAGTTACCCGAGCCATACTATCCATGATGAAACACATGTCAGGCATGGGCGTGACATCGAGAATGGAGTTCGCGTTGCGATTTCTCGCATCGATTACAGTCCGTAAAGAACCGTCCTTCTTTGCAAGACAAAGAAGTGGAGCCGCCGTTGTGACCGCCTTGCGTTCCCACCATTGGGCTCGCTCATAACGAGCGATCTTTTCTCGAAGCTGCGGTTCGAGGGCCTGAGGGCACGTAGCCCTTCTTTCTATATATTTTTTATTCGGATCAATCAAGTTGATCCGGTGGTTAACCTCCCTGAACGGAGGTAGGACTTCAGGGGCTGGTGCCATGACGTCTTTGAAACGTTCACGCCACCAATTCCTGAGTGGCACGAATTCAGGGTCTGTCATAGGCAGACCTTCTAAATGGGAACAGTCGGGAAGCCTGAGATCTTTCGACCTCGGGCTTGGCCAGTGATTGGGCCACTGGGAGGTATCCGTGTCTTTTTGAGCGGAGATGGCAAGGACGCGTGGCAAAGGGTTTCCAGCCTTCGCTGTATTGCGTCATGCCGTCTGTTTAGATGACAGTTCGGATCTTGGTGCACGGGGAAGTTTGGGGCGACCGTGTGCAGCAGCCCCCACTGAGGTTTTACCCCGTTCCGTCAGGACATCAAACGTTTTGATGTCACCCGTCTTTATGTGGATGGTGTGAGTTTCGAAATTGAGGGACACTCCGTTGGCATTCAGCCATGGGGCTCCGAGAATGGCGTCGTAGTGGTCAATGTTGACAACGTCAAAATAGTGAGTAGACGTAACCCTGTGAATGGTTACAGGAGTATTCGTGCCATACATTATGCACGAACGACTGTTTTTGGTCCCCATCTGGAGAACCAAGGGGTTTGGCAACTCGAGCAGTGGAATGTGAACTGCTCGGACAAAATCTGGAGATAGGGCGTCTGTTTCAGCGCCACTATCAAATAGGACAAAGGCGTTTACCCCAGCGATGTTAACCTCGCCGGTGAGTGTCCGCCTTAAGTCGGCGCTGCGGTTTTCAGGGTATTTACCCGCCTCCCACGAGATTCTAAACTTCGTGTCGAATATTGGCGGGATTTTCTTCAGAAGCTTGTTAGGCACTGAAGAACTCGTCACACTTTGCATTGACGGTTTCCCCGATGAAGATTTTGGGACCGGTATAACACCGTCCCTCTTGTAGGTCTTTACTGCATCGTCGACAAGCTCAGCTACTATCTGCTCATCAGATGGCAGTTTGTCTGCTTGCCGAGCAGACGCTAATTTAATGGAGAAGTTTTCGTCCGTGGGATCCACGAACGTCATAGCACTGACGAACATGTCGGCATCCACTTCTACGTACTCCTCCTCCGCCTCAGTGAGGAGGTTGGGATCGTATGGGTCGTCCACGAGTTTATCGTCGAACGCCTCATCGTCGGCCATATAGTCCTGCACCTCTGCAGGATCTTCAACACCTTCCGGTTCTTCTACAGGCTCCGAGTCCTGTAGGTCTCGTTCGTCAGACTCGACCGCTATGTTGTACATGCGCGGTTTGGGCTTGTCGTGATTTGGGCAATCATGTTGATAGCCTATTTTCCCGCATTTAAAACAACGCAGTTTCCCATCCTTATCCAAGGATGGCATCGATTTCGTCGCTGTAGACGACGTCGACTTCTCTGTTTTTGGAGCCAGCGAGTAGCTCGCATGGAAGGTTGAGCGTTGTCCGCTCTTCAGAGCTGACGTGTTTCCCCCGAATGTGTTTTTGTACACTTTCTTGGCGGATGAAGAATCAGCAGCTTTTTTGGGTGCTGCTGCGGCGTTGGCTTGTTTTTGCGTCATTTTTGACGCTGCTGGCGCTTGCGAGTCATTACGATACGCAGAGATCGCCTTAATTGAATCGTATGCGTGGTCCAGGCGGAGCACGGCGGTCCACAACTCGTCTTTCGTTGTGTAGTCCACGGAAATGTCGTGGCGCATAACCATCTCCCGATGCATTCCGCCAGGGATGGCGTTCAGGAAACGTTCATTGAACGTTGCCTGGTCAGGAGGCGTGATCATCTCCTCAGCTGCACGATACAGCTGGTTATAGAAGTGTTTGATTCCCTTCGCGGAATCGTATGAAAGCGTTTTGAACGCTTTCGTGGATGCTACTGCTGCAGACTTCTTGATGAAGGTGCAGATAAGGATCTCTAGTAGATCCCAGAATGGGGGGTTACCCCGTTCTGCACTCCAATGCGTATATAGTGCATCAGGAGGTCTTGCGCCTCGCCTTCAACGGCGGTTGTCAAAGTGTGGACGTGAAACTCGTTGTAAGCTTCACCCTTCCACCCACACGACGACATGTAGGCTAGCCAGGAGTGCAGCCAGTTGTGGAATATCTTCGAGTTATTCTCTCCAGACCATTTGATGGTCGGAGTCAGTCCCTGCATCTTTTTGAGCAGTTCTGGGCATACATCTGCAGGCAGTGGCTGCAGGATTCGGACCTCCACACTTTGGCGTGCAGATTCAAGAAGCTGAGTCATGAACTCAGATGGATCAGGCACTACTCGTGCCGCCGGTGCTGCGTATGAACGCATGGTTGAGTCAAACAAACCGGGTCGTACAGACGAGCGGTTTGGAAAGTTGGATGAAGGCTCCCATTTTGCTTCGGTGCCAAATAGGTCAGGAAATGGTGGGTTGGGCCAGGACGAGCCACCCTTGCCACCATCCTCGTCATCACCATTGCCACTCGGACGGTGGGGCCTTCTTCCCGAGTTTGACCTAACTTGGTCTACACGCCTCTTGCCCCCTTCTGGAGCCGCAGGCGGTTGTGAGAATCGGTGGTAGTTATCCAGCACTCGTCTGAGTGCTGTGCCGTGGGACAGTCTTTCGGGGTCTTCACCGTTTGCCCCACGACCCACGTTGTATACGAATGCTGCATCTGCATCCAGACGGGCGTTAAAGTCAAAAGTAGATTCGCTGAGACTACAGTTGTGGACAGGCAAATTCATTAAATTTTCTATCACAGGAACAACTGCGTCAATAAGCTTGATTTTTGCATAGTTGTACTCTGTTTAGCCATAGCTATCTAAAAACACACTTTACAGGCTCCTAGGTTGTTTTTCAAGCGCGCGCTAAATTTTGGACCCAAAAATTAGATAATATTTGACATTTTAGGCATCGGCAAGGCAATATTGGGAGGGCATATACTTTGTACACCAAAATTTAGCTATCTGTGGTTGCAGTATTACTCAGAATTGCATCCATTGCAACTCTTGCAGCTTCGGAAACTGAGCGATGACTCTTTTGTTTTTTTACCACCCATTCTGCTGCTTTTCCTGAGAACCCCTTCCGATAGGCATCCATAAACCTCCAAGTCCGATTAATGAACTTCCGAATTGTGTCAATTGAACATGAGTCCAAACACTGTACCACTGCTGCTTGTGCATCAGCGAAAGTAGGCTTCCAGATCTCTCTGTAGCGGTACTCAGTGTATCCCCAATACTATTAAGCTAGCAGTCAATAAGGCAGAGGTTCATAAATCTGGGACGGACTCACCATTTCAATTGGGTTAAGCTCACAATGGAACTTTGGCAAAAAGACGCAAAGATGGCCAGCCTCGACAATCAGTTTCTCAAGCATTGACACTTGATTTGAAAAATCGGATTGTCGGCTGAGGATGCGTGCAAGACAACAGTCTGTGTTCTCAATAGGACAGACCGGCTTACATTTTGCCTTTTTCCCTTGAATTTCGAAGCCACGTTCCAAGAGCACGGCTTCCAAACCCTTTGGTTCCCCATCCTCAGTTAAGAGTGACTGTGGTTGTCCATGCATAGAGACTTTAGGGACACTTTCATCATTTGGGATTGTCGTTATCGGCCCTTGTCTTCGCTGTTTGCCTCCATTTGAGCGATTCATGTCAGATGCGTTCAAAGCATCGGGGCCAAGAGATGCATGTGCTGATGATTGATCGAAAATAAAAAGGCCTTGGCACCCGGGATAAGCACGTTCAAAGATTGGTATTGCCTTTGTCCTTATTTGCTCTAAAAGCTGCTTTGTGTCCCACCAAGGGTCACCATTAGCACCTGGATAAATGATTTTGCATGCATCATTTTCTTCTGAGACAGAGCCATCTGTATTGGGGATGACAAGCCGGCCACTCTCTTCATTAATGAAGTCTGAGACATGTATCAGCCTCCCACGACTCTTCTTTTGGAGAATAGTTTCTCCCTCCTTGAGCCTGGTGCAAAACATCAACAAAATAATGTGATAGTTAAAGCTGAGTCCGTACCATGCACTGCGCTTGAATTCATTCACGTGAAAACAGCTCTCATCATGAAACTGTGCCACGATGTGCCGTTCTCCCTCCTTCAACAAAGGCACTTTTCGCTCCAGGGATTCCCCATTCCACTGGTACTGAGCCATGCGGGACTCAAACTCTTTCATTTTTGGCAAGAAAACCTCTTGGCGGTACTTAACCACATCTGCACGTTCATGGCCATCCATGTACACTCCTTTTTTCAATACTGTCCTTCGGTAACCAAGTTTGATAAGCCAGCAACGTGCTGTACGGTGGCACAGTGGCCTTTTGAGTGAAAGACCAAGCTCTGGCAGAATGATGGTGTTAAGTGCTCGGCGGAACAACTCTGGCATCAAATCTTTGCCCTTCTGGATTGCCAGCCAAGTGCGGACAGCACTCTTGACATCAGGGTCATCCAGATGACAGGCACCTCTCCTGCTTCCCCCTCATCTCTCAATTGGAAGACTTTCGTGCTTCTCATAGTATCGCGCGAGCATCCTGATGCGAGATGCAAAGTAGCTTCCATCCCCATCATGACAGTCAGTTGCAATGTGAATGCTTCCAGGAATCCTTTTGTAACCCTTGATCCGAAGGGTGGCAAAACTGCGCAGAAGTTGGTATTGGTTTAGCTATTGTGTCGTGTCTAATTAGCAGTGCGTACCAAATCACAAACAATTACTTACCTGACTCAACGATAATTCACGGCCCTTCTTTTTTTTGTTAGCGTCTAGGATCTTGTCAATCCCTTCCCTGAGCTCTTGCCAAGATTTCGACTTCACACGGGGGCAAGCGGGTGAGGTGTCATTCATCAATTCATCAATTTCATCATTGTCATCTTTATCCTCCTCCTCACTCTCGTTGCATTGTTCATTACTGACATCAGGTTGGGGGGGACAGTGATGTCATAACAGCTTCGTCTCTTTCCAAGTGGGGGAGAACTTTCATCGGGAGTGGGGAGTGGGAGATCCAGAACATGTGGTGCGTGCTTCCGCTTCTGCAACTCATGCTTCATAGAGCACTCTATTCGGTTGTTAGAGGAATTACTGGCATCTTCTAGATTTTCGACAATATGGTCCGATTCCACCAAGTTTGGTGCTGGAGAATGTAAGGGAGGTGGTGTCGGGCCTGTCAGCTCAATCGCGGTTGTTGTATTGGAGAGTTTCACAAAGCCAGTGAGTGTTGTTTGCTTCATTCCCTCTTTATGCTCTTTTGCCGCATATGCTTGCTGTGTTCTTCGTGCTTTGTCAGCGATGGAGGGTCCTTTTGAATATGGGCCCCTTGGCTCTCGCGTCCCTAGTATCATTTTGATTAACTATTGGATTTAGGATAATCCATAGAAGACTGTGCTATACTTACCTGTGTTTTTTAGATTTTTACGTGCCTGGATTCTCTTTTTTGTGGTGGCATAATCAGAACCGCGCTTCGGGCAATATGGAAGATCATCAACATCTCCTCCAAAAATCTTGACCCTCTGCACTATCTCCTCAGATATTGAACCACAAGCAGAGTCCTCATCACTACTCCAAGCTGCCATATCCAACTCCTCATCATCAGACGCGAGAAAAGGGATGGAGGATTGTTGATTCGGGTTGCAGTGAGAAGGATAAGGTGACCAATTGTCCTCCTCATCACTCTCAACCTGGAATGGCTGATTGTTTAGGGCAGGTTTAGCATGTGGAAAGTAGCTCTCAAGTCTGCGATGCATCTTATTCCTAACGAGGCAAGCAGGAGGGCGGGAGTCGTTGGCATACCGGAAGCAAACACATGTGATTGTTCACCTCCCGATTTCCTGCCATATCACCGTTCCATGGGACTTCTTTCACAGAAAATCATATGCTACTAGTCAAGAGCTTTCATTTGACCCCCTTTTTATGCATGGGAGCCTATTTTCTAGCTCGACGCTAAATTTCGGCACTCACACGGAAATATAATCTTCAAATTCAGTGTTGGAAAGCCTCGGAATGAACTCCGTTACCCAAATTACGTCGTTTTATTGTGTTTCTAGGCTTTTACATGGAGATTAACATTTCTTTCAGACTTTGCCTGTCCGCAACTGTACGCGTAGCGAAGATAGGTCTGACCTTGGCGGGCTGTCTGCCAATGTCATCTACACAATCCTGGACGTAGATCGGGCGTTTTTTCCGTGCGTAATAATCGTACAGAACACTGGTGGCTTCTGCGTCACTGTCTTCCTCTTGTATTGTCTCCACAGTGGCCTTCATCGGCACTGCTTTCTTTCTCCCGTGGTCAGGAGGGAAATTATGCGTTTGAGTAGCGTCAACGCTTGGTATCTTCACCTCACTGTTCGTGGGTTGGGACGACAGAATGAATGGCGCGGGCATGAAGCCTGGCCTGAAATGGAATGGAGAAGTTCCACTCTCCCCCATAATTGATGATCCAGCCAGTTGTCCTGGGTCGATCTCCCTACCCTTTCCTTTGGCGTCAGTGGTTACTGGCGCCATTGACGGGGTAGGTGGCTTAGTTCCACTAAAGATAGGAACAAAACGTCTGTCAGATTCTTGTACCTCGACAGACACGCGTGAACTTGTCGCCTCTGTGACGACGGCAGAGACAGTGGGGATCCCTCCAGGTATGGGGACCCCACTGATTGGTTGACCCGTTGGATTAACAGGGACTACAGGGACCTCCTGGGGTGCTTGCGCCTCCACAGCGGGTTTAGTGATTTGTTGACCCGTTTGATTAACGGGGACTACAGGGACCTCTTGGGGCGCTTGCACCTCAACAGCGGTTTTTTTCATCTGGTCAGAGACGACGATGGGGTTTCCACCCGTTGTTGGGTTCACTGGAGGGTTTGCAGATGGGTTATCCACCGTTGCTGCAGGTGGCTTTGGCTCGTCGCGTCGAGAGAGCGTGAGGAGAATTTCGTTAAGTTTCTCATTAAGTCTTTCCTCCACCTTAATGATGTTACGATCTAGATGAGCGATGTTGTCGCTATTCCCAGAGATCTGGGTATTCATGTTACGGACATCGCCTCTCAAGTCGGTGATGTCGTCGTCGACTTGGTCGACGCAATTTCTTAGTACTCGCGCCGTTTCAGATGCGAGGGAGTGGGTTGGGGATGGAGGACGCGACGCGCGCATTGGGACGAATGCCGTGAGAGTCTCCGCTGCGAGGGCTTCAGATGTTGTGACTTCGTCAACGTCTCTCATATAGGTGGGACGCATCTGAGACGCGTCCCTGGGCCCTTGCAGGCCCAGATCGCCACCATCACTTGAGGTGGTGTCGTCTTCCGCCCTACGGCTAGTGGAGGGGCCGGCCGTGTTGGCAGGAGCGTTGGACGTGCTCCTGGTGTTGTATCTCCACGACATCCAGAAGAGGTGTCGAGTTGTTCAACAAGTTCGCGTGAGAACTTGATCGAAGTCGCGCGTTGTCAGGGGCCGACGACGTGCGCGTTGCCAAATGGGGTTTCGGCGCCGGTAACGCGGTGCTGAGAATGGAAAGAGAATAAGAGCGTAAAAAAGTGAAAGGTTATCTTACTAGTTTGGGGATGGTAACGTTCCGTTCCCCCGTTCGCCTCAGGCCTCAGTAATCCGTCTAAGTATACGCTTGATTTGGCTGTATATTGACAGGGTAGAAGTAAAGGCTAATCTGCCTTTTACAGCTACCCTGAGGGTTTATATACAATCTTATACATTCTTGGCACAAATAAATAGAGAAGCTTCCACGACGCTAAATTAGCGTCGCAACATAATTATTACACAACACAACATCAACTGATGTTGTGGGCAGAATATAGACATGGGCTGGGGCCTCACACGATCCCTTTGCATGTGTGGCAGTAAATATGGTTGCCACTGGCGGACCCACTGTTGCTCATGGGGGTGGAGAATGAAGTTTGTTTTAACAGTTGAATCCATAGGTCATGAATACTGTTCATGTCCCTGGGGGTAGGGTCTTGGACTTTGAAGAAAGGGGGAGGGAGGTGGATTTCCCACAGAGTGACATTTGCATCAGAGGTTGGGTTTCTATGCTCAGATGGGTTTCAACCCCATGGTTGGAGTTACATTTTCATCCTCATTTAGGTTGGCTTTTTCCAGGAAGTTTCTGAATGGTGATCCATGTTCAAGGATCCTTTGAGTAATAGCATTTTCCATGTCATCCTGTTCATTTAGGTTCACTCCAAGGCTGCATAGGTGTCAGGGGATGAACCCTGGGTCCTCGTGACCCCTCTCTACAGTCCACAGTCTAACCTGTAAACAGCCCTGTCCAGGGCACACTCTACTGTGGGTAAGAAAGTGAGAAGAAGGTTAACTTCTCACTTTCCCACAGTGGCCCCAATATGGCGAAAACTTCCGGGGATACCCGGAAGTCACATGAGGGCAGGATCCAGGGCCGGACCATGCAGCATGGGAAGTGCATGCAGGAAGTGTAGCGGGTCCGGATGTGGGTCCAGGTCTGGGCTAGTCAGGGTGTGTGCCCTGACAGTAGGGAGACTACATATCTGGATGGCCTGTAGTTTGTGAAGTTGATTGCAAAAAATCATATTGCATGGCTTATCCATAGATGGCCAGCTATGAGGGTATTGATATGTGAGGGGTGGAGGCCATCCATGAGGAGGCCCCAAGGGGTTCCGGATTGGTCATGGGTTTGGGCCAGATTTGTCATATCCCAGATCTTCCACCTCCCTCCACCCTAGTCCTAGACGACTCCTATGACCTCCACCAGCCCTCCCAATCTCTCTCTGCTGCCTCCAGTCGATGCCAACAATCCTAGGACTACCTCTTCCTTCGACTCTCTCCCACTCTTCCTCCCATCTACATCCACATCACCTCCGGACCTCCCCTACCACACCTCCACCTCCTTGGACCTCTTGTTCAAAGGATACAGATCTACTTGTTGATGGTAACCCTCAACTTGCCCATCCACCCTCCTTCATACTTCTGGTCTCCACACCTCTGGTTGTGTACCTCCAGTACCTCCCCACTCCTACCTTACCTCCGGTCATGTTATTCTTGATTGTTTTATCATTTGATATTTTCTACAACCCCAATCTTCTGGACTACAACTTCCGGGCTCCAGACCTTTCTGGACATCTTCCCCTGTAGTTCCCTACTCATTCATAGACAGGCCCAGGCCTTACCATTCAGTTGGTCTCTAATCCTCCCACTCCACAAACTTCAGATGTAATTTGGGCTTTTTGCCTATTCTATATTTGTCCTGTGGTGTCATATCCACCCATGGCCATCATCCTCAACCACCTCCAGTCCTCCAGATTCCCTCCACTCCTTCGTCACTAACCTTGGAGCCTCTGGTTTCCACAATCACCTCCGACTCCCTTGATGGTCATCACCCCCTCAATTCAATATATTACCTATGCCTCCCTAAGTACAGAACCCCAAAGGCCTCCAGACAGCTCTGACGTTGTAACGGGTCTATTGCCTAGACTCGAGACAGAGAAAGGGGGGAGGGTGGTAGTGTGCGCGGGTGTGGTTCGTTGGGCCGGGTTTTGGTCCGTGGGTGCTACTGAGTCTGCAAAAACCTCAAACAAACACTCACCTATGTCTCTCTTGGACGTCAAGGCTGAGTATTATGATGTGAGGGGTCTTAGACGTGAGCAACTAGCTCAGTGGGGGCATTAGGGTCGTGGATGGCGTCTTTGCCACTTGGATGCAACTTCTGCTTGTCCCTTCACGGGTCTATTCAATACTAACTTGTTATGTACAAGCTGTTATCTAGTTTATATATGTTTGAAATGGAATGAATGGCATGGAGGAATGTAAATGGGCCGTTAGGCAACCGTAAATGATAAATATCCAATTGGGAACAAAGAAACAATAAAAGAAATATGAATGAATGGGGAAAATGTGACAACGGGTCCGAAATGGAAATTGTGAAGGTTAACTCCGCAACGCTTCGCCACAGCGCCCGCCTATCCTCCCGTCAGCAACCTCCTCGTCTCCAGCTTTCCAACGAGCCCCTATTTGTCCCATTTGGTGCAGTAGTTGTTGAGATATGGCCATTGACAGGTGCTGTCAAGACCACGTGAGACTCTACTCCGTGCTGAACCATCCGGGTATGGGATTGCCATTCTGGGAAATGCTCCGGGGGTGAAGAAGGAAGGTAGAGCATCACTATCGGGTGGAAAAACGGCTGGGTTGTATGTGTAGGTATGGAGATCTGGAGAGGGGGTGAAATTGGCAGCGTGGTTTGCGTACTAATTTATATATTATCAACGCAAGTTTTCGACATTTTTTCATATTTTTTTAACATGCGGTGAGGCACTGGAAGACGTTTCCCACGCACAGACCACGCGCAGAGCAGACACCACATTTGTATCTCTGTCAGTTCTTATTCGTTTCTCTTCGGGTTTGTTGTAACGGGCGCGTGTTAATACTCTCTACAATTATTATTATTGCCCCGGCTCATTATTGCGCGATTTTGAGGGTGGCAAGTGAAGTTTAATAGAATAATTTATTATATCTCGCTTGATACTGAACCAAATGTCCTGGAATTTTTCGAATCATTTTATATACTATTAACGCAAGTACAGAATATTTTTACGTATTTTTAGAATATCTGTAGGGTGCTGGGGACCGTTTCCCACGCACAGATCATGCGCGGAGCTGACACTGGATTTGTATCTCTGTCAGTTCTTATTCGTTTCTCTTAGAAATTTTTTTCACGGGCGCGTGTCAATGCCCTCTACAATGTGTATTATTACCTTAACCTGATATCTTGCGATCT